GCCCTTTTCTAATAACCTCACATCATATTTATACAAGAAGGGCTGAACTGGGATATAATCGGCAGAGACTGGCTGGCAGTTCTTTTCTAATAACCTCACATCATATTTATACAAGAAGGGCTGAACTGGGATATAATCGGCAGAGGCTGGCTAGCAGTTCTTTTCTAATAACCTCACATCATATTTATACAAGAAGGGCTGAACTGGGATATAATCGGCAGAGGTTGGCTGTTCTTTATCTTTTGCCTCATCCTTCTAGTAACAAAATATTCACCAAATGCGATAAAAAAAAGTATTCATATATTAAAAAAGGGAAAAAAATTAAAAGAAGACAGACCAATAGAAGCACAATATGGGAAGGTGCAGAGAAGATGTTGAATCAATTTCACAGATGCGAAGCCATGAAAGAGTATCCACAACCACTTTAATGCGGCATTAAGGCCTGCAAAAGAAAAGGTAAATGATAATGTCAGACATAATATCTCTTAGCTCTATAAATAAAAACTATTTAAAACACTGACATGAAAAACTTATTAGTACAAGATTTCCTGTGATCATAAAAGCAGTATCCATGTCACAATAGCGCATCAATCAAAAATATTACAAAGAAATCATAATGGGAGGTGTACCAGTATGAGATATTGTAGCAAGGGACACAAGGCACAATGCTGCATATAAAAGTATGCAGCTTAAGCTAAATTTTGGCTCCCATATGCCACGTGATGAAGAAGGGTGCACATTCCTGGATTCACGCCACAAAATGATCCAGAGAAATATGAGTACGCCACAGCAGCTAGCTGATGTAGCCCAGTATTGCATTGTTATATGTTCAAGCTCTGCATAGGTGACAGATCATCAAAACAAAGATACAATGGATCAAATTTATAGCAAGAAAAGAAAAAGAAAAAAAAACTAGACAAAACAAAAGAACAGTAAGGAGAAAAAGAAAACCTAGTCAAATTTTTACCTTTTTGGGGTGTTTTTTCTCCAAGGGATGCAGGAGGCCAGGGGGAACTATTACATAGAATTTTAAATATAGAATATGGGAAAAGGAAATAATCTCCAAGAATTGAAATGAGGAATGAACCTAAAATACTAATTTTAATAGGTGTACATCAGAAGAGGAACAGATATGGATGCTCGGTTTCATTTCTTTCCATCAATAACTAATGAATAATAAGATTATCTTCGGAACAGCCTGACAAAAGAAAATGTCATTACATTCTTCTTTATCATCTATGCTCTAGCTGTACCATATTCTTGCATAACTTGTTCAAGTAAGTTCATATTTCTACAATTTCAATTTAGTCTTCTATTTCAGCCATTTTTTCTGCTTCCATTTTGCCACCATCCGTTATTTAGTTCCTATTAACTTACTCAAAGCAAGAGTCACAATCCCCAGTTACATTAAGGCTAGCAGGGTTAATATTTCTAATTCAATAGAACAGATATAGGAATAGTAATAAAATACAAGGGATAGAATACGAATATTTATTCTAACTCCATGTCCAATTCAAGTTAGGTATAACTAGTATTCCTATCTTGCCAAGTAGGAAAAGAAATCCATTGACATCGAATTTAATATAAGAGTGCAATTGATTTAGTTGTGAATCAAGTATGGCAATTATGATATAATCCTAAATACTAGGCGATTAAAGTAAAGAAAAAAACAGAACATAAACAGAATACATAACCACATGAGCCTTTGAGTTAAGTGCAATACTTGCCAATCCCATATCAAAGTTAGAAGTAAACAACTATAAAGCACTGAACTCAGACCCCTACTCAGTTTTTATAATTAGATACACATATAAGGACCAAAAATTAAAGACACAAATTTCTAAAATTTATTAGATGTATCCACAACTAGCAGAAGTATAGTAGCTTGGCATTTGAAATTATCAAACCCGTACTAGTAAGAATATTCTTAGTCTGATACAGATAGACATAATAACGTGGATTGCAGCTGAAATTTTCTGGAGTGAAAATAACCGAAATTGCTAAGCACATATTGACAATATTCTTCACTGCTTATTTTAAGATGTCCCCCACCCGAAACAATACTAATGTAAAACAGTAAAGAAACATCCATTTGAATCCTTAACCGATTCACAGCTTAAGTGCCTGATTCAAAATGGTAGAGTTTAGCTTTCCTAAATAGATTAAAAATTATCATTCCTTTAAAATTAAGATACTATTTAGAAATCTAGTATTATAATTTTAGTAACTTTCGAATTTTATTTTTTTAATACTTTAACTTCTCTACTATTATTATGACTAGTCTTTTTCAGTTTAATCCTAGTAGAGAAATTTTATTCAAGAAGAGTGATAAATACCTTTTGCAATCTCACAGACGATTCTGTTCAGTTGTTCAATATAATAGTTTGACACTTTTCTCTTTTTTTTTTTTTTTGTATAATGCAATCAAATCCATTAGGTTTTGTGATGCTTAATACCTACCAAGTTGATGTATTAAAAACACTGTGTTATGTCTACAATTCTTCCTACATCAAGCACCAGAATCAGTAAGTGAATCCCAAACTAGTAACTTAAAACGCAAAAACTTCAAGAGATCAAAAGGAAAAAAAAAAAAAAAAAAAACCTTCAGGTTCAATTTCGTGAAGTAAATATGCTCTTCTCAACAGTATCAGTTTTGAGAGCATGACAGCCGGCAGCGCCACCGCCCCTAGTAATATACCCGACGATGCACCTGGCCTACGAATTAAAAACAAAAAAGCAAGAAAAACGAAATTTAAAAAGAGAGAAAAAAAGGAGCAAATACGACCCTAATTTCCCAAACAGAGTTTATAAGTCAAATTCGAATTCATCATCTATCCACCAACCATAGTAGGTATTTCAAAAACCCTAAGCAGCAAAAGAAAAAAAAAAAAGGAGCGTCATATAAATCAAGATAAAGGACCTGGCGTTGAAGACAGTTGGAAGTGATGACGAAATTTCGGCACGAATCTCTAGGAAGAGTGCGGCGAGTAAAAGTAGCGAAAGGGAGACGCCATGGAAGAGGAGAGAGGATGGGAGAGAGAACAGGATGCGAGCGACTACCAGGACGACCACGGCTCTCTCTCCGTTCAGAAACGACACCGTCGCCGTCGACACAGCCATGAACCTACTCCGTAGATCACTGCCGTTCCTTTTCTCCTCACCCGGAAAAATTCTTGAAAATTTGAAGAAGAAGTAAAATTTTGTTGGAGAAAATCAAGTCAGCTGCATGCCTTTTTTACTTTTCTGCTTACCGTCTTGCGGGAATCAGCAGATGAATGAGTATATCCGCCAACAGCATTTCGCCAGACGGGAATCGGAAATGAAAGGGCCGAGCGTACGCGGGATGTGGTTCCCACGAGCAGAGAGGTCCGCCGTTGGATGCAATCCAACTAACATTTTTCGACACGTGATGATCACGACATTCACTTGTTTGTTTTCTAGTACATTCAATTATTTTTAAACCAAAAGTAGAAAGTTAAAAAACAGGGGAAGATTTTACAATAATATTATTGGGATTTTTACTATTTAATTACATATTAAATTATGAGAAATAGAAAGAATAAATCAAATATCTTAGGAAGAAATTGGTACTTTAAACTGTATGAATGAAGGGTAAAATTGGTAATTACAATAAAATAAAAAGAATTTATTTGATTAAATATTAAACTTAATCAAATCATATTTTTATATAATTTTAATATCAATTTATGCTTTCGTAGAATATGATAAATTTAAATTAAGTTTTTGTAATTTACTAAAAATAAAAACTAAAACTCTAATAAGAAACCAAAGCCCATGTTTAAAAATTTTAAGTCTATTTTCCGATACTCACTGGAAAATGTAAAAATAAAAAATAATAATAATAATCTTTCGATCTAATTAACATTAATAAATAGGGATATATGGTGAAAAACTAATACTCGACCAAAACCATTTTGAACCAATATGCAGTTTTAGTTTGTAATGTTTACGAAAAAAGGCTATGATGAATTAAAATCAAATAATTAATTGATTATATTGAATAATATGTTTCATATAGTAAATATAATAATATATAAATATATAATAGTTAAATATAATATATTATAAGGAAACTTTCAGTTTGACCCCTTATGATTTTAACATTTTTAAATTTAACACCTTTTGATTTTTCTTCAGCAATTTAGTACCTTGTGGTTCATACGTTACTTAAATTAATTAACTCCATTAACACTAAAAAGTAAAAGGCCAAATCTCACCTTCTTCTTTACGTTTAACATACATGGAAATCTGAAAAAGAAATTAATTATCTAACTAAAAATTTTCTCCTCCATGGTTTGTCTTTGCTCTCTCTTTTCTCTACTCATCTCTTCTTCTTCTTCTTCTTCTTCTTCTTTACTAACATCAGTATTGCAGTGTATATACATATACATATATATATATATATATGCATACGTAAAAATAATGATTTGGTCGTTCTATGATTATAATGGAAAAAAATTTCATTTTAATAAATTAAAAGCTTACCTCTAAATGTCAATTAAGATCCAAATACATTCAATTTCAAAGAGTTAAGCCCATTCAATTTATAAGATACAAGCATGCCTTCCATTTACTTCATCCAGTTATACACCTACCTTCAAATTTTCTTCTCTTTGAATTTCCTTTCTATCACCTTTAGATTTTTCTTCTCTTTGAAGCTTTGACTATTTTTTTTTTTTTCTTTTAATTTTCATCTTTAGAGCTACACCATCTTCAATGCAAATTTATTTGTTGTTTTGCCTTCCAATTTCCAGCTATCTGCTTCATTTACACAACTCAACACTCTTTTACTTCATTCAGCATGATTGTTTTGATTATTTGGGAAAATATTAAATGGTTTTGCCCAAGTGTAATTTTGATTTATATGAATAGAACCTACAAGAAGGGCGCCATTTTGGTTCAACACTAGTAAATTGTTCTTATCCAACACATTCTGGTGATGGCCTTAGCAATGATCCAATTGCGTTGGCTTTCCAAGCTAAGAAGGTGTATTACATTAAAGATAAGAGACAAAAGATTGGCTTAGTGGTTAAACACATAAAAATTAGAGATCTATATTATATTGGCAATTGATTATTTGTAGATAGCAGTGGATTATTACAACAATTTTTTGATAGCCAACAATTGATTAGATAAAGAGAAACAAGAAACAAGAAAAGAGAACTTCAGAGGAAAGTTGCTCTAACGCTATTAGGGAAGTTTGAAAAAAGAATTGAATTTTTCATTATATGTTAAAAAGTAAGTGTACATCCTTATATAGATTAAGGAATACTAACCTACATCAGTTAAGACTAAACTAAATAAACTAACTTAATACATTTGTCAACCACGTGAAGTTTTGCGGCTGTGAATTTCAAGCAGATTGCAAGATATGCAACTCGTTGTCTGGTTTTAGCACTTGATACCCTGGATTTGATTCCTCTACCAACCCTTCTTACATATACGCGAAAAGGAAAATAATATAGAAAGAAAAAAAGAAGACCCTCTTTTTTCAGAGAAAAAATAAATGTACACATTCTTTTTTTTTTCATTGTTTTGAAAAGTTCACTCAATCCGTAAGGTACAAACCTAGAGATAATCTCTAAAGAAAAATTTCCAATCCAAAGATGACTGTAATTTCTGGCTGTAAATTTTAGAAGCTAAAGCTATCTGGCATCTCAGACAAAAGTGGACACAGGTTACAGAGTTTAAAGCCAAAGGTTTTACTTTACCATGTCAAGGTGGAGAGACATCTTTGCAAACCAAACGTTTAACATTGTTGATGAAATTCTCCATATTCTTATCTGATGATCCTTGGGGTCCCAAAGCTTTCTCCAATGTCCCCTTCACCTTCTTGATTGCTTCTCTACTTTCACGACCTGATTTTTCACTCATCAAACGCTCTATGTTTTTAGCTACTTCCTCCTTCCTAACCAACTTTCTTCTGCTCAAATCAATCCCAATTTTCCAATCATCCACCACAAGTTTCCTATTCGTCACCTGATCAGTCAACAATGGAAAACAGAGTAAAGGCACCTTACACCATATACTTTCCAAAATAGAATTCCAACCACAATGGGTGAGAAACCCTCCAATTGCTGGGTGGCTCAACACCATCATTTGACAACACCAAGGTATAATCATCCCACGCTCACCGATCTCCTCCTTGAATCCCGACGGTAATGGGTCCGCATCATCAGAGCTCACTATGTCAGGGCGTACCACCCAAACAAAACTCACTTTGCTCATAGATAGCCCGTGGGCTATCTCGTGTAGGTCAGTTTTTGAGACATGGGCGTAGCTACCAAATGACACGTACAGCACGGAGCCGTTGGGTTTTGTGTTGAGCCACTGGGTGCAGTCCGACTCGGACCAGAGACTGGTAGCCACCGTGCCATTGTTGAACCGTAGCGGGATTATGGGCCCGATTGAGTAGAAAGGGATTTTGGTGTTTAGAGCTGTAATGGTGTCGGATTCGAATTCTTGAATTGTGTTGCAGAGAACGGAATCCGCAAGCTTAACGTCCTCGAATATTTTGAAAATAATTTGATGAACCACTGATGACGTGTCCGTTTCTTGAAGATACGACATCGTGTCTTTCGGATCTATAGCTTTCACTCCTGGTATGTAGTCTATTGGGTCCTCCCGGCAATCTACTTGTCAACAATTATATAAATAAAAATAAAATTATATGTGCGACCGACGCCAACTTGCCTTTCTTATATTATGAAAAAAAATATAAAGATAATACAACTAGGGGACAAATAATTATTACTTATTTGTTTGGTGAGCCTAGTGAAAGTATTTGGTATCATGGTACGAAACGACATCGTATGAGAAAAGAAAAAAGATACCTTGACAGCCAAAATGTCCATGGAGTCTGAGGAGATCCATGTGATAGTAAAGTGAAAAAACCAGAGCAGCCTCCGTCCAAAACGATATGCAAACCAAACGGAACTTCCTTGCAATCTTGGAATGCCCAACGAAGAAAGTATCAGCAATCAAGGTATTAACTTTCTCTCCGCCGGCGACCATTCTGGCCACAACCTCCTCTACATGGGAGGAGAAGACGTGCAATAGCGACGACTGGTACTGGTCGTGGTTCAGCGATCGGTCAAACCCAACAGGAAGCCCGTCGGAGACGGTGGTGTAGCGAATGTCAAGGCCAGATTTGCGAACGCCGGCGAAAATGTCGTCAACGAGGGCGCCGTTGGGGCGTGGTGCTTTGGAGGTGATTTGGTGATGTATATAGTGTGTGTTGATGAAAGTAACGATGAAGCCTTGGGATGCCAACTTGATTGCTAAGTGAACTGCAGGATTTACATGGCCTTGGAATGGATGAGGTACCAGGATTGCGTGAATCTTTTCGGCCATGAGAGGGGGAGTTTGACGCAGAAAGAGAAAGAGAGAAGATTTGAATGTAGAAATTGGAAAAGAGAGAAATGGTTGACGTTTGTTTAAAAGGAAAATGAAAGAGAAGCCCTAGAATGATTAGAATGACCGTGCCTCATTTCCGGGGCATTGGGTGGATGTTAATGAGTAGTAGTTAGTATTATAATTTACTTTTATTTTATTTTGGTCATATAATAAATTAATTAAGAAAGGGGTCCAACTTGTCTGCATCAAATCCAATCAGATCATCAATCCAAACAGCAACTACTTGAACTTCCAATGAACCGTGGCTATTCGATGAGAAATTATATTCAATTAATAAATATTTTATGTTCTCTTTAAAGATAGAATAGAATCAACCCAAATGGAGCATTTTGTTTCTTACCCATTAATTAAAAATAAAATTGCAATCTTCTTTTCTTAATAGCTAAATAAACTTTAAGAATTTACTATTACTTTTAATAATATATTATATCTCTAATTCCAACAATTTTATGCGACCAGCAATCATCATTTATTAATGCACAACTTATACCAAGAGAAAAAATATATACCAACACAAAAGCTCTTCCATTTTACTACTACAACCGGCAATTGGAATATGTCTCTGGCCCCATTTATAAATAGAAAATTCTGTTTGTAAATAAATGTTTCTTATATCAATAAAAAGTTGGATCGCGGTAGCTAAACTAAAAAATGACTAATCCATTTGTATACATTGCCACATACAAGATTCATTTCACACTTTTTATTAATTAAATTATAAATATAATTATTTTAGTTATTCAAATCACCATAAAAATAAAACTACAAATATAACTAAATTGTATTAATTTTATAATATTTTTATACATTCATAATATTCTTAAATTAATTTCTTATCTTAAAATATTAAATTCATTTTTTTTAAATAAAAATTAAGAATAATATTCAGTGTACTTCAAAAACCTAAATAAACCAAAAAAAATATTTAAATCATACCATTTTCTAAAGTCATCTACAAACTCTGAGTATAATCATTTTTTTTAAAGGAGTTGCAATTTTGGCAAGTACAAGCATTGCTAATAAGATTCTAAAATAAATAATTTATATATTATGATAGACATATTTAAAAATATTATTACCTGCGAATTAGTCACACGAGAAGCACATCTAAAAGAGTCATGCAATTCACCAATTGTAAATTAACTCTATATCATCGTGTAATTATACCTTGTAAATAATTCTTTTTTTTTTTTTTGTTTTGTTTCAATTGTCATTTATCACATAATGACCACATTTAGATTGAGATGATGAAGAAACAAATCCTTCATGATATATATCTCCTTTTTTCCATCATCTGTTGACCTTTGAAAATATATCATCATCATGTTTGACTAGAATATTTCTTTATTTTCTCATGTATTATAAACAAAAATAAAATTAAAAAAAAACCATAGTTTTAGTAATTAATTACAAGATATATCACTTACATAACTCTCATCTTTTTGAGTTATATTATGTTCTTAAAGTTTTCGACCATCGAGGGCTTTTTCATTATTATCTTTCATATTGATAAACCAAAAATAAATTTAATTAATTTCAAGTAAAAATTTATACAAAACAAAAGAATAAAAGAAGAATCTTATAATAAGATTAATATAATACAATTATGTGAAGCAAATTACAATGTTTAACTAAACATTTCAAAGAAAAATCTTATTATTAAGATTAATATGATATAATTATGTGCCTCAAATTACAATATTTGAGTAAATATTTCAGACAAATGAGATCAAGGACTATTTTCTTTACTCATTTAAGACTCTTTTCCACTACCTTCACACACTTTACTTCAACATCATCCATCATTAATTGCCTACCATATCATTATAGAATTTTCCTTCCCTATAATCATTAAACAAATTTTACTTTTCTGCTATTCAAGAGTTAAACATAGTCTCAAACATCAAATATCAAACTTTCATCACTAGTTTCTTTAAGTCAAAACTTCTCAGCTACGTAATATCTAAAAATTATTTTATACATATATCTTTGTACCAAAAATGAGAGAAAAAATCATAAGACTTACTCAAGTTATGAAACATTTTAGCTTATATTAACAAAACAAAAGGTGTTGTTTAGTAACATTCATATAATACATTTTCTTAGTAACTATTAAGAAGTCATTTGTCCCCAAACAATGATGATCTTCATAGTTGACTTTTTTCTTTTCCCTATTTTCTCACTCATTTCCTAAAATTATATAATGAAATTAATAATTAAAAAACTTAATAGCGAAAAAAAATTACTATTTAAAAATTTACATTTCCTTATTATGAGTACTCATTGTTAATAGGTTCAAAATACTTACTAGAATTCAGAATATTTGTTACCATTTCCTCATTTATTTTTGTCAGATAATATTTGTTATACTTCAATTCCAATTTTCAATGCCTTTATTTGTTCCAATTTTCAATGCCTTTATTTGCTTGTTATATCTTCTAGAATATTAGGAAAAATATCAAATTGTTTAATAAATTATTGCTTCTTTAAAAATAACAAATACATTTGAAGAAAAAAAAATTCAGTTGCATATCACAAATTTCTACCGAATCAAAATCTTGATATCTTGTAAGGATTTTGATGAAGTTGTCTAATATAGTAGCATTATGACAAAATCAAAAAAATGAATTCAACTTTTCCACACACTTTTTTATACCATATGTGTTCATAAAAGATGTGAAACATTTGTAGTTTTGAATTTAAAAAATTAGCTAATTTTTGTTACATAATTCTTATTCTTAAATCACAAATTTAAAATAAAAAATTATTAACTAATTGTGATCATATTAGTTTTGTTTCTAAAATTTTTCAACAAAAATTTATGGTGTCATACTTGTATTATCAACAAATTTAATTATATTATGAAGCATTTAATACTTAATTATCTAATTTTAATCAATTATCAATATAATAACTATACATACATATTTATGTACAGTATGATAAAAAAATGTAAAGAGGGTAGACTTGGTTAAAAAATAGTTAGTGAAAAATATTTAAACCTATTTTCGTCTATCTCATTTTCCTTAATTCACTTTTTCTTTTGAGCTCCATTGTTCCAATAGCACTCACCATCTTCATCTAGAATTTTGAATTCCCATAGAACTCATCTTTTAAAAATTGAAAAAATATTGTAAAACTATATAAATTTGATAGTGCCTAAAAATACCATCTTTATCTAGGTCGATTTATTTTCTATGTTTTGTTGCAGTACATGATATAAGGACGAAACGAGGAAAAACAAAATGAAAAGAGGAAGAGATCGTGAAAAGAATTATCAGCCCAGAAACATGCCTTAGACAAAGCTTGGGTCTTGCCACATACAACTTAGCATTGGGCAAGGTTAAGAGTCGTGCACAACAACAGATTTAAATTAAAATGTGTGCTTTTCAAATATGTAAAAAAGATATTATTCAAGCAAAGATTTGGGGCCAAAAATCAAGGAGAAAATATTCTGGAAGGCTTGGGATATATAAAAAATCAAGTAAAATGATCCTAATCAATAAAAAAAAGAAAACTCTAACTCATTTCCTATAAAGAGGGTAGCTATCAAAGCAGAATCATCATCTCTCTTCTTCCCAATGCTGCACACAGCAACTTCTACTGCGTTTGCAATTTTTTCTTCATCTTTCTTCTTTCATATACTTTCCAAGAACTCATTTGTATTAAAAAGCCCACCACGAGTGACTAATTTATTTATTTTTTCCTAGTTGATAGATCAAGCAAACTCCAGCAATATATTTGTGAGATTTAATCGAATTAATTTGAGTTTTATTTCAGAGCTAATATTTATTTGCTTCCTACACCAATATATATTTGTCGTTTTGAATTAGTTTGAACAAGGCCTGTCATACGAGAAGAGAAACTGCAGGCAGCTAGTCTAACCCCTTAAATCCATAATTGTTTAAGTGGTTCTATAATCAAGTAGCGATCAATGCCGCACTAAGGATGTAAATAGTCTAGTTGACTGGTTCACATGGATGAATTTGACAACTTGAATAAGGTCCTTTTAGCTCTCAAGGTCGTTGATAAGTTAAATCCTGTGGATGTTCCCAAGACTGCTTGACAGCAAAGAACCAACTAATGAATGCTTCTTGATTGGTTTAGGAATAAGGAAAGAATAGTTGTCAAAACGTTTCTGACAACTATAACTAATTTTTCATATTTCAGGTAAAATAAACTCTTACATCTATGATTAATTACGTTATTGGAGCTAGTTATTTCATCGACTAGGAATTCTTTTATAATAGTTTTAGCTTTTAATTTATATCCAAGAGTTTGTTTAATATTATTCTACTCATTATTTATTTTATGTTTTGCATATTGAATTCTACAAAACCTCCCTTGTTTGCTTTTTACTCGTTGGTCAAGAAAGAAAATTGGTTTTCAATTTCCTATGGTTTCAAACCTTCTTACCACTACTACAATATTATTTTAATGATTAATTAGCAATTTATTTTTAGTAGATTCGGCACTCAAAAAAAGATATTCGATCTTGTTTCGATGCTCTTGAGGAATAGAAAAGCTTATAGTAATAATATGCAACACTATGATAAATTTTAAGAATTTTTTTCCTAGTAGTTACAAGAACCAAACAAACAAGTTGATTCTTTTCCTAAGAAAAAACTTCACCAGCCCTATTTCATGCTCATCAAACTTGTACCTTGATATCTTGTTAAACTTAATCTTTTATTGATCAGGAACAAATATATTCAGTTTGTTCTTCTAGCGAAGTTCCTAGTGAGATGTGTGAAGAAAATTAAAGCCATTTAGCTATAATATTAATTTTAACTTTATCAATATAGTTAGTTATTTATCATAAAGAAAACAATCATAAAAAAATACATATATGATAAAATTAATGGAAAAGGATTTTGGTATGGATGGAACAAGTGAAGCCTTACTTAGCGCGAATAAGTGCAACATGGTTTTGGGTCCTGTAAAATTTTGCTGGTGCAGATCTTCTCCAAAGCTTCCTCCTTTAAACCTTATGACCTGATAATTAAACTGTAGAAAATATTAACATCAAACATGTAGATTTTATATTTGTGCCTGAAGATTAAGAAGAATGGAAAGAAAGTTATTTTTTTTTCT